GTTAGCATCGCTGATGCTGCCGTCGACAAGCCTTCCACCCCCTGATGCCGCCGTGAACAGCAGCACAAACTGCTGCTGTTCAGATCACTGTGAGGGCTTGTCGTTTCTCAGAGTGGAGCGGATAAAGGAAAAGAAATGACTCGTTCTCTGCAGCTCGGAACCAAACAATCCAATGAAACAGGAAACATAAAGTTGCACAAATTTCCTAAATGTTCTGAAAAACTCACATTTCCCAATAAAGAGTTTTGTGCCAGAATGAAGTGATTTTTTAGACAAATTAAAATAGATGTATTTTGTAAAGCTTCAATGCTGGATGTTACTACTGGCAAAAACTACAAAGAATAAACAGGAAGTAGTATTAGGAACCAGCAGAAACTGGAATCCTGCTGCGTTTGGAACCAGTAGAAACTGGAATCTTTCTGCGTTTGGAACCAGCAGAAACTGGAATCTTTCTGCGTTTGGAACCAGCAGAAACTGGAATCTTTCTGCGTTTGGGTCGATTCCCTGAGAGCCGCGGTCGCCGTGTCAGCGCCTCCTTTAAGGAAACAGTGAATTGTGTCCTGTGACGCGGGTAGTCGGTGTTGACAGTTGGAGGACACTGAAACAGGAAGAAAAAGAAGACAGCCAGAGGAAAGAGGGCGATGAAGATAAGCCCTGATCTGGCTCCCTCCTCTTCATCACCATGCTAACAGGCTAGCAGCTACAGAACTAATCCTCATATCTGATCTTTCTCTCTTTTTGTTTTCCCTTGTTGTGTTTGTTGTGAGCCTGAGAGGACGAACATCCAGACGTCCAAACGCGCCGCGGCCTCCAACATATGATGAGACACAAACAAAATAAAAAACTCCAGAGAATCTTTTAGACGCCGACTTTGACAGCAATATGTGTCGCTGTCGCCCGGAGGCAGCCAGCATGCGTGGTGACGGGCTGGTGACGGGTGGGCGGGGTCAGGCGCCCTCAGGGTCAGGCGTCCTCAGGGTCAGGCGCCCTCAGGGTCAGGGGGCGGAGCCTCCCACTGACAGACGGGAGATTGGCAGGAGGGCGGGGCTAAAGCAGAACACTCGCCGCCGCGAGGGGAAGCGTGGCGATGAAGCTCAGCTGCCAGCAGTCATCAGATCACTCTCGCTCTGTTTGTGTCCATGTGTGTGTGTGTGTGTGTGTGTGTGTGTGTGTGTGTGTGTGTGTGTGTGTGTGTGGGTGTGTGTGTGTGTGGTGATAAAGCGCTCACACTGATCCCTGTGACTTTCACTCCCTGACATCTGTATCCCAGATCCAGTCGTTACGTGGTGAAAGAACAGAAGTAAATAAATGTCAGTGCAGCCTGGCCTCAGCTTCCAGGCGTTGGGATGGAGATGTGTGTTGGTGTGTGTGTTGGTGTGTGTGTTGGTGTGTGTTGGTATCTGACAACCCGCGGTGACAGAAGGAGGGTGGGGGGATCCGGGGCCCTGCGGGACTCCGGCGCAGCAGGAACGCTGCAGGATTTCTCCTGATTATGTAACCATGTGAACAGATGCAGCGGCGGCGCGCCGGAGGGGGGCGGCGGTCCGGCAGGCCGCGGTGGCGCCGGTCACCAGTCGCTCTCTGGTCCGTCACGTGTCGGGCCTCTGGGTGGGAGAACACCTGGACACCTGGACACCTGGACACCTGGACCCAGGAAGCCGCTGCTGGTTTGTCACGTTTTGTTTTAGTTTAAACGACACGAAGCTGAAGTGTTGAAACAATAAAAATAAATCATGTCCCTCAGTTCTTCACCGTGTTTTAATAAAAAACATTCAAACAGTCGCCGGAGCGGCCATGATGCAATCGATCCACCAGAACCAAAGAATGCTATGACGACTCCCACCTTTAAGTGACTCTTTAAAATCCATAAATGTAGAAATCTTCTCTGCACTGGACTGTAAACAGACCTTTTCAGCAGCAGACATGGATTATTTGGATAAATATGAGCGGTCAGGATCAACCCGTCCCGTTTTGAGTGGACGTTAGACGTTGAGAGGTTTTATATTTTTACTTTCGGAGCGGTGCGAACCCGTCTTCGCTGCGGTTCTGCTGGATTCCTGTGGCGGGTCGTTTTTACTCTCTGCTTCCTGCAGAGCTTCGGCAACATGAGCACATCTCCCCGTTTAGCTTCACTCCACTGGAGTCCCAGCCATGACAAGCTTCCAGCTCTCTGGTCTGCCGCACTATTAAGCTCCGCCCTCCATCAGCTGAGATCAAACTGGATCATATTGATCATATTGATCCTTTGATTGGAATGAGTCAAATTAGCATTTCTGATGAAATGTTTGTTCTATTTAAAGCTAGAAACAACATTTTCTGTAAATTCATAAATAAACTGAATTAATTTGTTTCGTCTCATTTGGACTCTGATCACATCAACCTGCAAAATGGAGATTAAATGAAATAAACTTTCTGTTCTATGTTTAGAAAGCACTAGATGTTTTTCAGCCATTTTAAAAGGTGATTTTATGTTGTAGCTGAAAAATAGGTCAAAAATCCAAACACAAGGACTTCATGCATTAAGACGTTACTGATCAGAAACGATTAAACTGCACTGTTTATATCTACAATCATGAAAAATCGCTTTTATGGCTCCATTAAATGTTGGATTTTCCAGCCACATTTGTCTTGATTGATCATTTATAGATACATAATGGAAAATAATCCACATTTTGCAGAAAAAGCCAACCTTCAGCTCCTATAGACTAGCGGCAGCAGGAAGCAGCAGACACCTGGAGGAACTGCATTTATTTTAAGTTGTTTTAACATTTTCAACACAACTAAAGGTAACTGTTGCTTGATCGTGCTATAAAATGTATAACGCACCAACAGGTGAAGCTTCGTGTCCAAACATTTTCTGAAGGACGTTTCTGTTCCCAACAACTATCTTCACTTCCAAACTCCATCTCTGTACCAAACTCTTTAGCGAAGCTGCCATCATTGTACCAGAAGTTAACAGAAATCCTTTCAGTGGAAACATAAGATGTTTTTTCTAGACTTTTATCTTTAAAACACAACAAGACATCAGCAGGCGTCTTTATTTTGTGACATTTTTTCCTCTTCGCTGCACAAAGCAACAAAAAGACAACAGAGCTTCGTGTTTCGTCTGATTCCAGTTGATGCTGATCAGAAGGTTGCCTCCGCCTGCATGCTGGTTTGTCCTGAAAGCTTCTCAACCTGCAGCGTCTTTTATCGTCACACAATCACAGGAATATCTGGAGTCCAAATCAACTCACTCAGAAATTCAGACACTGTTAATTTAAAAAGTGTGAAACGGAGACGTTGACATTTCAAACCGTTTCCAGGTAATGTGTCTGTGATAAATGCCTGTTGGCTCGGGCGTCAGGGGAAATAACGCAGCATGTCAAAACGCGCCAAGGATTTTTTCCTTCCCTCCGGCGCCTCAGGAGGTCAGTGCATCTGGGATTAAAGGCATTTTTCATGAGGAGACACGAAGACGACTGCAAGTTCAAGTGCAGGGGATGAAAATCACTGCAAACGACTGGAGGAAGAAAACTAACTAACTCTATATTTCTGCCCTGACTGGCCCAACAGCAGGCTGCACCAGAAATCTCTGATATTAAACCAAATAAATGATAAATGTGAGAGATTAATGGCTCCACAAAGCAAACCCAGCCTCAAGAAACCAGCTGGAAAGAAAAATGGCTTCCAGCACAGAAACCAGCAGCGCTCACTCTGCTTTCCAATCTGGATTCCCTCAGATTTGTTGTTTATAATTATGAGATCAAGCAGCGGGATTAGAAACCAAACCCAGAGTGAGCAGATCGTCCTCCCTGCTCTCAGGGACCAAGTCAGATCCAGGTGTGACTCCATCAGCGCCGTGCCTCATTTCACCTGCGCTGACGTGACGCTCGGTGAGATAAGGAGCCGCAGGACGGAGCGGGAGCGCAGCGTCTCGGACGCGCTGCAGCGCTCTGTCTCCAGCCGCGCAGCAGAGGCGACGCTCCAGCTGGAGGTGATGGCTTAATAATTAAACCGCAGCTCTTCTTATCTGGGAGCGGATAAGAGCAGCAGCAAACATCTCTGGCAATCGCAGCCTGTTGTTTCTCTCTCATTTAACAGCAAATCAGCTCTGGGTCCAGGCCTGCAGCTCCAGCTCTGCTCACTGTTTGCCCAGAACCCAGAGTCTGAACACAAACCGCAGCTTTGACCCCAACACACAGAAAACCTGCAGCACAAACGCACAAAACAGCAACACGCAATAAAACCATGAAACCTGGGAGATTCTCCCAATGACTGAACAACATATTCGCCTCCTCAACTTCTTGCTTCCAAGCTGAAATAAAATATAAAACATGGAAAAAACACACAGCTAATAAAACTATTCATTTTAATGGCATGACTGAAAAACAGCATCACACCATTCATGGGGAGAAAAATTATTCCACCATCTTGTCTCAGCTGCACAATAGTAAAGATATAAATCACACTTTTTTCAACTAACTGATGAAAAAATCTTTCATACTAATTACTTATGATAATAAAATACCTTAAAGGTGACGTGCAGATGCAGTTGCCTTGGTTACAACCTCTCCAAATTCAACGTTTAAGTAAAAATATAAAAATGAGAAACTAAAAAGTTTCATATTTAAATAAAATACAAACTTATGATTAAATGTTTCAAGCAAAATAAATCCTGATTGATGGTTTTAACCTGTAAACACTGAGATTTCAATCAAAACTCTTGGAAAAACTTTTGCTTTAATGTTTAACAAACACAGGAAATAAATATATTATTGAATTTAAAGAAAAGCAGATTATATTGGTTTGTTTCCTGTAGGTGCATCACGCACGCGCTTTATTTTTCTGCCGTGCACGCGCGTGCAGTCAAATACTTAGAAAACGCGCGTGCGCCCAAATTTCAGCACTGAACGTTTCAGCCCCGCAGTGTGTGTGTGTGTGTGTGTGGTGTGTGTGTGTGTGTGTGTGTGTGTGTGTGTGTGTGTGTGTGTGCAGCTCGTGGCGCGCGGCACACTGACCTCCGCGTGTTTCCAGCCACGCCGCGCTCCGCTGCCATCAGAAATCACAGGACAGGATGAGTTAAAATCCACGCGCGTCTCCCACTCAGTCCGAGTCGGTGTGACTTCCGCCGCGCGTTTCCTCCTTCATGTCCGTCTCCGGCTCCTCGTCCCGGACCTCAGGGCGCGCGGACTCACCCACGGACCCACGCGCGGGGGAACCGGCTGCAGACAGGATGAAGTTGTGGAGTTAAACCATCCCCGCTGCTGCTGCTGCTGCTGCTGCTGCTGCCGCCGCCGCGGATTCGCCTCTGCCAGCTCTGGACACACAAACGCAACTGAAGCGCTTTTACGCACAGCGCGTCAGAGCCGAGGGGGAGGGGGAGGGGTTTGGTTCCGAGAGAGAGAGGAGAGGAAGAAGGGATGTTTCACTGAATGAACGGAGGGATGGAGGGGAATTAAATCAACTGTTCTGGGTGAAAATGTCTAAATATTAAGAATAAGATCAAAATATTTTCATTTCAGTTTCAACTGGTTCCAAATGAAACCCGGAACAGAACCGAACTGAACCCAGAACATGTGGAGCTGTTGTCCAGTTTCCTTGTAGCTCCATCCATCTTGGTTTGAGTATCCCTCAGCATGACGCAGCAACCACTGTGTCAGGTTGATAAATGGTGCGTTCAGGTGGTGCTCAGAGCAAATCCTTCTGCCATGAATTATGATTTATGGAAACTATAAGTGGTGAAATCCACAAATCTGACCAAATCTTTACTAATATCAAACTCCTGAACTCACCATCCCACAGTGGCGCATGGTGGTGGCAGTGTGATGCTGTGGAGAGGCTTTTCTTCAGGTCAATGACAGGATGGATGGAGCTAAAAATGCTGCTAATTTCAGAATGGCCCAGTCAAAGTTCAGACTTGATTCCAATTGATAATCCATAAATACTTGATGATCTTCACAGATGTTCTCCATCCAATCTGCTTTCCAAAAACCAGAGCACAGAAACTTCAACTTCAACTTCCTATAAAATCTTCATTTCTCCTCATAATTTTGTCCTTTCAGGAAAATAAACACCAACAAATAAAATGTTGCTCCTCCTGAGAGCGTCCGTCCGTCCTCACAGCTTTCTGTCCGTCCATCCATCTGTCCACCCATCTGTCCGTCCTCTGAGTCTTCAGGAAGCTGTGAAGAGACCATCAACTTAAGGCTCATTAGGATTTGATCAGATTAAACTCCCTTCACTTTATTTACATATTAAAGGAAAATATAAATGCCTATTTATGTATTAAATTGTAACAAACGTTGCAGAATAATTGCACATGAATTTAAGGTTTTAGGTTTTGTTTGTCATTGGTCGTGGAATCACGTTAAGCCGCCTTTTGTTTTGGTCTTTGTAGATTTTCAACAAATCTACAAAGATTTGTTGACAGAAAGAAATTCAATGATTATCTGGGACTTTGGTTAAGCTCGATCAATACTCTGCTGAAGGGCCGTTTAATTAGCAGTTTAATCTGCGCTCTGTGCAGAGATTACTCTTCAAGATGAATGAAACCAATTTAAAAGTCCAACATGAAGCAATAAACTCACATGTGTTAAGATCTTCAGTCTTAGTTTGAAGATAAAAGCTCTGGAAGGTTTTTACGCTCAACCAAACAGAAAAATAAAGAATCTTTCAGGTCTCACCCATTCGAGCTTCAACACAACACTGAGTTCATGCAAACAACAAAACCAAATAAACACCTGCAACCACTGCAGGGAAGCTCTGTTCATTTCAGGGAATAAATCCAGAGGCTAAGCTTGAGCTTAATACTTTGACTTTTAATTTGAAAGCGCTGTATTCTTTCAAATCATTGGAGCAAGTACGTCTGGAAAAGACCTGGATGTCTAAAACCACCTGCTGCACTATTTCACATACTGGTGTGTTAAAATGACGTAACTAAAATCACATGAAGAAGTTTCTCCACCTGATAAATCATCGCTGCTCCATCATCCTGCAACCATTTCCTGTCTTCTTTGTCGTTTCTGTCAGTGGCAGTGAACTCTGCTGCAGTTTGAATGTGTAAACGCCAAACAGACTGGAGCTAACAGCCACACCAACATTTTGTTCCAGAATCATCTGAATCTGCTGTTCATCCGAGTCAAATGTTAGTTTAGTTTCATTACAGAGACTCTCCTCATCACTGTCATCCTGTTTTGGGTTCTTGGAGAGATAATTGGACTCAAGGAAACGTTCAGAAGGTTTAAATCAGAGGGAAAGTCCAGCTGGACGTGCAGCTCAGGCGGATGATGAACTGGCCGCACGGCGCGTCACGTTCTCAAGGTTTTCTTTCTCACCACAAACAAATAATCTCCTGATTCATGTCATGGAATAAAGTTTTCTCTTTAGCTTTGGGCAAGAAGACTGAAAAATAAGAAAAAGCATAAAGCGTGAAGCAGGAGTTCAGTTCATTCCTTCTGATCAAATGGACTGAATCGACTTTCACTTCAAACGTTTTTAACTTTCAGGCGATGCAGAAAAATCTGGTCAAGCTTTCAAACAGTTTTATTCTATTTATTAAGGAAGGCAGCGAACACCAGCCGCCGCCATCGCCGCCGGGCTCCGTTTAGATCAATCAGCCGTGTGTGAGCGGCGCTGGGTGGCCCGGTTCCGATCCACTGCTCCCACATGTGACCAGGATGCTGCTTGTTGCCTGTTTGCTGGAGCAGAAACATGTCTAACCCAGTGTGTGTGTGTGTGTGTGTGTGTGTGTGTGTGTGTGTGTGTGTGTGTGTGTGTGTGTGTGTGTGTGTGTGTGTGTGTGTGTGTGTGTGTGTGTGTGTGTGTGTGTGTGAAGGCTGGGAGCTAATTTAAAGTGAAATGTGGAGTTTGTGGCTGTTAGTCTGAAGATGCAGAAACAGCATCAACATTCAACACACATCAAGCTGCATGAAAACAACATCATGACCCGGAAAGAACAATGTTTTCATACAGTGTTAATTAGTTCATTATTTACTGTTTCATCAGAAAACATGTCAACCATTTCCACGTTTCTATTAATGATTGTTCATGAACTTTTTACATTTATTTGAATAAAATCTGATGTAGAAAACGTTCCCATCCACCGATGAGCCTGTGCCTTACCAGAGGCATGACACTTGGAAACATCACTAAATCCAAACCTCCAGCTTGACTGGCGCAGTTTATGCTAGTTTGCAACGTCTACTTCCTGTCTAATGTCTACTTCCTGTCAAATGTCTACTTCCTGTCTAATGTCTACTTCCTGTCGAATGTCTACTTCCTGTCTAGTGTCTACTTCCTGTCTAATGTCTACTTCCTGTCTAATGTCTACTTCCTGTCGAATGTCTACTTCCTGTCTAATGTCTACTTCCTGTCGAATGTCTACTTCCTGTCGAATGTCTACTTCCTGTCAAATGTCTACTTCCTGTCGAATGTCTACTTCCTGTCGAATGTCTACTTCCTGTCGAATGTCTACTTCCTGTCTAATGTCTACTTCCTGTCTAGTGTCTACTTCCTGTCTAATGTCTACTTCCTGTCTAATGTCTACTTCCTGTCGAATGTCTACTTCCTGTCGAATGTCTACTTCCTGTCAAATGTCTACTTCCTGTCTAATGTCTACTTCCTGTCGAATGTCTACTTCCTGTCGAATGTCTACTTCCTGTCTAATGTCTACTTCCTGTCTAATGTCTACTTCCTGTCTAATGTCTACTTTCTGTTTGTCGATCTCTGATGAAGTCACGTTTTGTGTTTCCAGTAGATGAAAATGAATCTAATTCACATTTTCTTTTGTGCAACATTGTAAAGGTTTGCTCAAAATTCACAACATTTGTAAATTCATAAACAATAATATGAACATTTATAATTCTAATAATATTTATAATTGTTTATCAGTTCTAAAATCTGACTGAAAACAGCATCAAACGGATATAAATGATGTTTTCATGTGTTAAATAAACCTTGAATCGTTCTGTGATGCTGTTTATGACCTTTGACCTCTGGAGGAGCTGCAGAGCGTCATCATTCTGGTTCCCCTGCAGCTGAGTACCAAACAGCGTCGAGGTTCAGATGCTGGTTGTGTTGATTTATGGTCTGGGTTCAGTCAAAATGGCGGCTCATTAATCATCCGCAGCTGAGTTAATGTTCATAATGTGAAGCTGCTTTTGGTTTTTCTCACATCTGGAATCGTTTTCAGAAATGATTCTGCAACATGACGACGATGTGGGAACTAAATAATGATCGGAAATATTCAGAGAAAACATCCAGAAACTAAAACTAACTCCAGAAATATTAAACTATTTCATTCAAACAAAGAGGATAACAGCAGATGAAGGATCTTGATCAAATCAACCACAGGAGAACTGTGAGCTATATTGTTTCCAAACGATGTGAAGGGAACTGAAAGGATCAAAAATTAGAAAACTAAAAATAACAACTGGAGAAAAAGGCAAATTAGTTTCTCCTCTCATTTAAATTTGCAGGAACTGATTTTTCACTGCAAAACCAGAAAATCTTACCAAGTATTTGTGTCTAATTTGTAGCTAAAGCATCTTATTACACTTTGTATAAAAGTGTAATAACTTTTCAGCAACATAAAGGAGTTTGTTTAAAAAAAAAAAACAATTATTTAATAACGATGGAAAAAGTTCTAGTTTCGCTGTCAAATCAGTGAAATAATGTTTTTCATCATCATTCAAGAAATTAAACAAGTTTAGATATTTTCCTGTAAAGTTTCTTGTAACTTGATTTGGTTTTATTTCATGCAAAAGATATTTTTGCTCTTGAAAAGAGACCAAAAATACTGAAAGTGGATTTTTTTTCTGTGTTGTTTTTGTTATTTAGACAGGAAACAGGAAGTTGCCCGTCAGAGCTGCGGAGGTCTGGATCGGGTCCGAAGGGAAACCCTGTCAGCCTCTGCAGCTCCACGTTTCGTCAGCAGACAGATGAGGCCCGTCAGGCCGGCAGCCCGGTGTGAACATCACTGGCCAACACACACACACACACACACACACACACACACACCCACACACACACACACACACACACACACACACACACACACACACGCTCCGTTACGTAACACCGGCCCACCAGCGCCTCGCCCTCCTTCACGCTCACAGGGTGGAGAGATGGACGCTTCAGTCGCACAGAATTACATCTTTCATGGTTTGCATGAAATATAGAGACTATGTGAGAAGTGGAGGAGTTCAGGCTCTATATTTGTCGCTGCAGATTCTTTTCCTCATCAGCATCTCGGGTTTGGATGTGAAGTTCCTGCCGGTTCCAGACAGACGGTGGGATGAA